CTTGTTAAAATCTTCAATACCTCAAACAATCTGGGTTCTCTCACACTTTGGGTTGTACAGGAATGTCCTTGGGAGAGGAACCCCCAGGCTGTGAAGGGAATTTTGGAGATAGAAACCCATATCCCAACCAGGGCACCCAGCAAGCTCAGCAGTGTGAGACACTCGTGTGACAGAGATAAAGACCATTCAAATGGGGTTATCAGCTGTAAAACTGCTCCTGAGACACACTGCAAGCCTGTCCTGAGGGCAGAGGGAGGCCAGCCTTGGTGAGTGTGACACGAGGGGGAGCGGGGCTGATTGCTGTGCACCCCCAGTGCCTGCATTTTGGGGTTTAATCTGTTTCTTGTTGGAGAAATGAATCCAAGAGATGATTGAAGTGCTGTTCCCAGCACTCTGCAGTCCCCTGCTCCCCCTCCCAGCACAGTCCCTGTTATCTAACACCTGGGAGGGGATTTAAAAGGAACTCTTCATCTCATTTCGTACATTAGTGCCAAGTTTAGCTTCTGTAGGTAACAGTTTCTGTTTGAACTAATAAAGAGGTATGTTTAGAATCTCAGGGGCACACTCTCTGCTCATTTGAAACAAATGAGCGTTATATAAGGAGGAACGGGAGCTACAAATAGGACTCATAAAATTAATTGGCTGTGAGCTGCAGCGGTGTGCAGCCACTGAAGGTGACGAGTGGCCACAGGGTGTCCTTCCCCCTGCACAGCCCTGGGGACAGCAGGGCCAGGCTGGAGCCCTGGCACCACTGCCACGCTCCCAAGAGCTCCCCCTTGTCCCACTTATGCTGCCCCAGAGGAGCTGTGCCTCCCAAAAGGGGCAGGGATGCTGCAGCCAGAGCCTGCAGGTTCTGCACCCTGCAGAGAGCCCCCCATGGCTCCTGATGGAGCCACAGCTCTGCCTTTTACAGATGGAAAGGGAAAAATGGGGATATTTGGCATGTGTGGTAGAAAGACAAGAAAATATCCAAGGAAAACCCATTGCAGTTGGGGAAGGTGTGTCCTGCTGGAAAGAAGCAGAAATCCCTTTCTCACCTTTCAGCCTTTCTCACCTCAGGAAATGCAGCCTGTGGTAGCCCCTGGCCAAAGCAAGAGGAGGGACAGGGCTGGACATTCCCCAGGGCTGGAAGGAGCCCTGGAGGCAGTTTGTGTCCCACCTCCCTGTCTGGGGTTGGGTGTCCCAGGGACACCTCTGGTGTCACCGCAGAGCCATCCAGGCTGGAAAACACCTCTGAGCTCAGCAGGTCCAACCATCAACCCAGCAGCACCACGCTCACCACCAAACAGCTTCCTCAAATCCCATGTTCAGGTTTGTCAGAACACTTCCAAGGATGGGACTCCACCACTGCCCTGTTCCAACATCTGGCAACCCTCTCCATGAGGAAATTTCCCCTAATACCCAACCTGAACCTCCCCTGGGACACCACCAGGCCATTTCCTCGCCTCCTGTGCCCTGTTGCTGACAGCATCCCTGACTGCCCCAGGGCTCTGATTGCCCAGCCTGAATTCCCATCCCAGCTGTGGAACCACATCCAAACTGACACAAAGCAGCACGTGGCACCTGAAATTCAGCTGAACACCCTGTGCACTCCCTCCCCCAAAGCAGGTGACCTGTTTTCCACACGTTTTGTTGGAATGTTTCATTTTCCAGCCCTTGCTCCTGGAGGGCACAGCGACTTTTCCTACAGAAATGGGCTTGGTCTGCCTGAGCAGAGCCATGGAAGCTCTTCTCCTGCCCCCTGTTCAGCTCCTGGCACCATCCCTGAGTGTTTGGAGAGCAGGTTCTGCTCCACAGCAAAGGCAGCAGAGCCTCTCCACACACACAGCCCTGCTCAAACACATTTATGGGCTCTGAACCCATAATTGGTGTTTCTTCAGCTGGAACCTCAGAGCCAAGTGCAGGGGGTTTATCTGGGGCTAACAAAAGCCTCGTGGCATTTCCTAGATAGAATGAAGCCCGAGTTTAGCAATTATTCATAGCCTCACACACTTTCTTGCAGGCAGCCGAGCTGACTTGGCAGACTGGAGCTAATTGGGTTTACAGTAGAATGAAGTTTTGATTGAAGTGCCTCGCTTAAAAAAAAAAAAATATTCCACATCCCCCCACACCCCTGCTAACATTACTCTGGAGCATGTAAAACAACCACCCCACATCTTAGCAAAGGAGAAATGCAGGGATTTTGATTGCTTTACCAAGCAAAGACCCACAAGTGAATAATTCTGAATGTTTGATGTGCTGTATTCTGATCCATAATTCAGCGGCTGCGTGTGCCTGACATTTCTGGCTGCTTTTGAAGTTCATGAAACCCCTGCAGTCACCAAGGGGAGGGATCCTGCCTGGGGAGCCAAGGTGGGCACTGAACAAAAGGTGGGAAGAAAAGGGTTCCAAAGCTAATGCACAAAAACCTTGGAGAATGTAAATGAATGTAGCCTCGAGTTTACCGAGTAAATAATTCAAATTCTACCGTGGTGATTTATGAAAATAAAAAGACATAGTTTAATGAGCCCAGCAGGCAGCAGGTGCTTCTGTTTTAACATGTTAAAGGCAAAAATCAAAAGGCAGAAGCTTTTTCCTGTTTCATGGTCCCAGTTTAAAATAAAAGCTCTTCCCTGCACTTCAGGGATGTGCTGTGCTCAGCAGTTTTGCTGCTCCTGGGAGGGTCCTCTGAATGCTCCCATCACCAATTTCCACACAGCCACCTGGAGAACCCTTGCAGACCTTCTGGGCAGACCGTGGGCAGGGACACCTTCCACCATCCCAGGTGTCCCCAAGCCCCAGTGTCCAACCTGGCCTGGGGCACTTCAGGGACCCAGGGGAGCCCCAGCTGCTCTGGGCACCCTCTGCAGGGAGGGGTTTGTGCCTGGCCCATGCAGGGCTGAGCCAAGCCATGACCCTGCAGAGAGTGAAATCATCTCGTGAGGTTATTTAGTGCAAGGAGAAGAGAGGGAGGAGTGGCATGGCCAAGGAGGTTCCTCCCTGGAGAGCCTTCCCAGCTGTGTGAGACTAAACCCCACGGAATTCTCCACAAGCCCCAGGGGAAGGCAGCGAGGTGTTTGCAGCAGCTGGGAACTCCCACTCCCACACCAACGTGAGGAAATCATCCCTGAGCCCTTGCAGGTGTGCCACATCCTCAGCGAGCTCCCTCCCTGAAGTGGCTGCTGCAGAGGGGGTGGCAGCAGGGGACAGGGACATCCATCACCTGGTCCCACTCCTGACTCCGGGGATGCACGGCCGCCACCGTGTGTCACCCACAGCTGTTGCCATGGCAACTGGAAATCATTAAACATAAATAAACCCATTTTTGTGACACAACTCATAGAGTGCCTGCCTTCTGCCAGGAGTTTAAATTTGGCCTGTTGGGCTAATTTGATGGGATGCCACGAGTGAGGGCCCGATTCGAAACCACAAGTCATTTTTCTCCTTGGAAGAGTGGATAACTGAGTCTATTAATCCAACAATACATTTAAAGCTGAGTTATTGTGACAAGGGACTTCCATTATCCATTTCATCGAGTTGCAAACTGTCAGAATAAATCTCAGGGGGTTCAGGAAAAAAGCTGCCTGCCTTTGTTGGCTGTTTTTATATGCCACAACAGTTTAATTTGGTTCACTTTTACTCATGATACTGTACAACTGTACAGGGGGAAGTTCATGGGGAACCTACTACAGAAACTACAGAACTTCATGGTCCTCAAAGTTTTTTTGTTTCTTTTTTTTTTTTAAGCAGCCAGGACAGTAAAATTTGACCACCTTGACATTGACTTCAATGACCCTTTTCCTTATACATTTCAGTTTTAACTATAAATAGTTCTCCCTTTGGAATGAACATTTGCAAATTAAAAATGCTTTCTTAAAGCTATGGTTTTATCTTTCAAAACAAATTGACTTTAACAATTAGAACTCATATAACCAGAAATGAATCAACATAAAGCATTAAAAAGAAGCAGGAGTATGCACCTTAAGATGTCAAACTGGAATTCAGAAGGTGGGATTTTCAATTTTAGGGCTCTACAGTGACTTTAACTGCAAGGCACCTCATTCTCTCACCAGTTCTGCAGATGATGATAACTCTTAATTATCCTTTATTTGCTTGGTTTTGTAATTAAAGCTGTTCTAGAAGAAAATTATTAAGTGATGTGATTGGGAACTGCCCATGAATTTGGGAGGGCAGAAGGGCTGAAACTGAAACAGAGAAGGAAGGAGGAGAAGGAGCCAGTGTCACTCGGGGCCTGAAAAGCAGAGATGGAAAATTCCCAGTGAATTCCCAGCCCCGTGTGCTCACACCCAGCAGTGAGGGAGGAGGTGACACCATGCCAAGAGCTACCTGGGGAGTTTGTTTTCCATCTGTGCCCCCAGCTGCAGCCCTGGCCAGTCCCCCACGGGATGGGACCTTTGAGGTTCCTCCTGCAGCACTGACACTTTAACCCCAGGCCAGCACTTGGTTGTCAATTATTCCCCTCAAGTTTCATTTCAAAGCTGCTGTGAGCTGCAGGAAGCCCAGAGAGAGGCAGAGGAACGTGCACAGCAACACCCCCTACACTAATTACAGCCTTTACAGATAATATTCATTTTGAGAAGCGAATTTTGAAGGTTTTTAAGCAGCGCTCAGCGCTGGCTGTGCTCCCATGCAGGACACACAGGAGTTCAACACCCAAGTGCTGAGGGGAGGGGAAAAACAAGGAAATCAAACTCAGGAGTTTCTGGAGGGCAGATAAACCCCTGGCTGGGAGGCAGCAGAGTCCCAGCTCTGGATCTGGAGGGCAGGTGGCATTAATGGCACTGGGGAGGCTCTGCCAGGCCTTGCCTGGGGATTTCCTCTGAATTTCAGCAGCTGCAGCTCCCTGAGCCAGGGAAGCTGGAAGGACACACAGACCATGGCTTGCAGCCTTGGGAAGGAAAAGGTTGAAATCTGGGTTGAAATCAATATTTTGGCCAGTAACAGTGCATAAAATATCTCACTTCATGCAGCCAGGGGCAAGGACAAAGGGAAAAAAAAAATCTGTCTTAAAGTCCTTTACATCTCAGATTGATTCTTTAGAGAGGATTCGCTAAGAAATAAACATTGTGACTTCAACTGCTTTTAATTCCACCCTCTCAGCACTATGGCTGTGAAACAATGAAAACTCTAATTCCTGCTCTTCCCCAAAGTCATCATTTGGTCTCAGGAGGTGGTCGGCAGCTCAGTACAAAATGTCAGTGTCACAACTTCACAGCTCCAGCCCGCTTTTGATCAGATCTGGGAGTGAGAGAGATGCAATATGCTCCTTCCTTTACTGTCACCACAGAGTATTCATTAGCTTTAATTATTTTTTAGGTTCTAGGGGGAACCATTAAAAAAATTAATCACAAATGGAAGGAGCAGCAGCCGTATGTGGCCGTAAAAAGACAATAAAGCATTTTAGGATCCACATTTGTTATGATTTACACTCCAAACAGGACCAAAGGTAGCATATGGTGATTGCCATAAAGTGCATTTATTATAAAAACACAGAGATTTATCCCCCAGCTTGGTTGGATGCAAGAAGTTACATTTACTTTAACTGATATTCAGATTGTTGTAATACCAGAGCTGGGGTGGGGGGGAGGTTGTAGCAAGCCAAACCTCAGCTTGTTTTTTCTACAAATTCATCCTTGATTTTTTCCACTGGTTCCAGCTGAGCTGCTCCCAGCCCTGCATGCAGGAGGGGTTTGGACACAGGTCAGCTCCTGCTCCGGGGCACCAACTGTGTCACCAGCTCTGGGCCCATCTGTGGCTAACAGAAGGGGCACCTCTGACTCCAGCACTGGGCTCCACGAGCCCAAAAGAACCCTCCCATCAGCTCAATGTTTCCTTTAATTTCAGCGTCTCAAGCCTAGTAAATATCTAATTGATAACAATAAACAGGGTGTTGCTTGTACTGTAAATAAGAGAAATAATATGTGAGATTATCCTATCCTCCTTGCTGGCTGAATGCAGGGAGGAAAATCAGAAAAAACAGAATTTAGGGCAGAGACACACCTCCAAGAAGGGGGCACAATATTATGGGGTGTTCCTATTAAAATCTGGAAATCATGACATTTTAACACCTTGAGGAACAGGACAGGACACAGCCCTTGGGGACATGGTGACACAGGGCTGCCTGAATGCCATGGACAACATCAATCCCTGCTGCAGCACAGAACCCTGCTGGATTTCAATCCTGACACCCACCAGGGCAGAGGCTCTCGGGGCACAGCCAAATTCTGCTTCCAGGGGCTCTGAAGTGAATTTTGAACTCAGCACTAACGGACTCAATATGGAACTGCCTCAATAAATAACCAGAAATAAAGGAGTGCTGGATGGCAGTGACCTCTCCTCTTTTATTTACTGTCCAATTCAATATTTTTAATTCTCCCAATCCAATCCAGAGCAACCTACACCAATATCCCTAAATGTCAGCACAGGCACAATCCCTGCTGGCAGGGGGAGGCTGCTGCTGGGGCAGGGCTGGTTTTAGGGAGGCAAAGCCAAGGCTGAGAGCAGGGACAGGGAATGTCTCACCCCTGCGTGTGGTTCAGGATGAAACCATCACATCTTCCTGCTCTGAAAGGTTCCAGTGCTGAGGGTTCCCCTGACAGCCTCTCTGCTGCTCCTGGCTCTGCAGCCTCCCCCTTTCCCTCTCCAGTCTGCTCGTGTTTGAAGTCTGGGAGACAAAAAGGTCAAAGTTGTAAAATAACTGCGGTCTCCTCCTCCTCCCCTTCCCTGCAGCTCAAGGGAAATGCAAGGAGTGGGCTTCCAGCTCCTCTAAAGGAAAGGTAATTGTTCTGCTCACCCTTCCCAGAGAGGCAGGAACCACTTTCCCACCCCACAGCCAACCTCTCCTTGTCCTGCACTGAACCTCTTCATGCTCAGCTCTGCTGACAGAACAATGGACAGAGCTAAAAAAATTACTTTTAGCCTCTCCTCCCAAAAAAAAACCCTCACAGACAGACAAACCAACAAAACCTTCCTTTAAAAGGGTCAAAATTACCATCAGGAAGAGCTGCACTTCCTTCAGACCACACCTGCTGCACCTGTGAGGGCTGTGGAGCTCCTGCCTGGTGCCAGCACAGATCCAGCACTGGGCAGAGCCCAGGCTGACAGGAATCCCTGTCTCCAGTGGAATTCCAGTGCCTGTGGAGAGCAGGGAGTGACAGGAGTGGGGTATTTATTTCAATTAAGTAGTACAAAGCATTGCATCTAAACAGGGCTGAAGGGAAGGGATTTGGTTCTTTAGAATGATCCAGCCTCAGAATTACACTGGCTCTATAGTTCTATATTGTACTCAGACATTATATGGAATTAGTCACAACAGGGAGAAAGAATCAATCAGTCCTGGCTAAGGAATTGAGATAATAATGACTCATTTGACGAGATTGCTCTGGAAAATTAATAATGACGGCGGTAATTACCAACCTGGGATGGCTGCAGTGCTCATTATTCTCCTCTTGCTCCGTTGAATTTTAAGTATTATGAAGACATTCGTTGGGGAGTTGTGTCTGCAGCTTTTTATCACAGCAAGGGCTCAGAGGTCCGAGGTGTTACACTGGGGGAGAGCACCCCAAACCCACTGCAGTGTTTGATCTGTGGCACAGAAATGTTGGTTATTAAGGGTTAATAAGCTGTGGCACGTCTGCAGCCTTTGCTCACCTGCATCCAGAGCTGCCCTGCTCCTTTGGGAAGTGCTGATGCCTCACCAAGATCTCCCTGTTCATGAACTGCTTTATCACCCCAGTGCCAAAGTTCCATGCTGGTGCTGAAAACAGCTGCAATTGGCTCCTTTTCCAGCCCATCCAACCCTCCTCCCCAGGACCAGGACACATCTCCAGCTCTTCCAGGCACCTGGGGGATAGGAAATGTTCTTTGGCACACCCATGGGGCTCTAAACTGGCTCTAAAAAGCCAGGAGTGAGTAACAAGGAGGCCACTGAGCAGCTGAGCTCTCAAACAGCTGCTGCACTCCCCCAGAGTGCCTACAGGGTTTATTTGTGTTTGGAGAGGCTCTGCAGTGGGTTCCCCTTCTGCTGAGCAGTGAGGGAAGGTCCTGGAACAGGCAGGAGAAGGAAAAACAAGTTTTTGTTAATGTTGAAGAGAAATTAATTTCTAGTTTTCTGAACAAGGCTGAGGTTTCTCGCCCCCTGGACTGATGAGTTTTGAACCCTTCTTCAGCTTTACTAGTTATTCTCATTTCTCTGCCAAAGTCTTTTTCCCCAAATGGCTTTTGGCCTGGATGACAAAAATTCAGCCCCACAATCTGAGCAATACAATTTCTACTTGAAATCCCAGATTTGATTTGGAACCTCTTTTTCCCCATTGCCAGAACAGGTCCTGGTTCCTGCATTATATGAATGATGAATCCATCCCCCAGAGAAATGGGATTTAGTTCATGGCTCCCAAAGATTGGTGCCTCACAATCTAGTGGTTTTATTAATTTATTTAATTAATGCAGGAGTGAAGCCACACACACACACAGAGGCTATATTTGCTGTGTTAGCTCTGTCCACTGCCTGAATATTTAAAAAATAACCACAACTAGAGCTCACCTTTAGCATTTCTCAGCAGATTTCACAGTATTTAAGAGATAAGGTCAATGAAACTAAATGAGATGCATCAACTCAACAGGAACTCAAGAATTACAAAGATTTTACAACCTTTAACCCAGCAGCACAACATGAGCAGAGACCTGTTCCCAGAGGCAGCAGGTCCATCCATTCCCTGATTCCAGCCCCACAGGAAACCACTGCATCTCCTGAAGGATTCACGGCTTTCCCCAAGAATTTGGAACACCATCCTGCTGCACGTTGAGCTCTTTGGAGCATCGGGATGGATGCTCAAACACTCCTCACCGTCAGTGCTCCCAACAGGAGGGGATTTATTGTGCTGAATGCTGAAAAGGACTGGCCCGAGGAGGTGGGAAATCCATCTGTGTGAGGCCAGGGATGCAGAGGCTGCTCGGCAGCACAGGTGGAACACAAATCTCAGCAGTGCTCAGCCAGGACTAAAACAGTCACGGACAGAGTCCCCTCTACCTGGGGATGTCACCTGTGAGCACAGTTCAAGAGCAAGCCCAAATTTAGTGTCCTTGCCATCCTGCCTGGCTCCAGCACTCCAAATCATCCATCTCTGCTCCTGCACTCCTTCTCCAGAGTAAACAGAGGCACCAAATTTCACAAGTGCAGGCAAGCTCCGAGAGTTAATTATTGTAATTACCCATTGAACAGGCTCCGAATGCTAATCTATAATAAAGTGGCCTATTAATTGGTGTTAAACTGCCATTAACCTGCCATTTCCCGTGTTTTCAAGCTGACCTGGAGCACAGCACTGTGGAAAACCCAATCCATTCCTCATTCCCGGCAATCACCGAGTGCCAATTTGAAGCAGAATTAGAAAAAAATCTACATACCTGGAATTGGAATGATTGTAACAAAGGGAAACATCATTCTGCTGCTTTGAATTCCAGCCCTTGACAGTGTAGGACTCCAGTTGTCCATGGTTTTCCATGGAGTGCTTTGTGCCACGTTCCCTCTGCAGTGTCTGTGGTCTCTGCAGGAATTGGGCTCTGCCAGGCTGGACTGGCACTGCCAGTGGTGCCTTGTGCTGCCCTAGAGCAGAGGCTGCGCAGAGCTACAGAATAAAGCAGGGATTGATTCAAAGGATCTCCTCCATGGATCCACCGCGGGCACCACCAGAGCCCAGCCAGGGCTGCCCCCAGGATGAACCCAAATGGCCCCAAAATGCACCCAGGATGAACCCAAATGGCCCCAAAATGCACCCAGGATGAACCCAAATGGCCCCAAAATGCACGAGCGCTGCCGGGGTCTCTCCCTGGGCTCAGCTCTGCTCCATGTGCACATTGCAGTTCAGTGTCCAACCCCAGCTGCAGCCCCTGCAGTCCCACCCTGCTTGTTTTTCTCTCTGCAGCCCACGGGGTTTGTGCTCCTGGGCTGAGATTGGGATCATTTGTCCTTGGTGCCCAGCTGGAGCAGGAATTGTTTTGTCTCCCTGCTCTGTGCACAGAGCTCACCATCCCCTGATGCGAACTCAGACCCACACACTAAAGCAGCACAGAATCTGAGAAATAGAAAAGCTGAAACCTGAGGCATCACCATCAGGGCAGTGACTCTGCTCCTGAGCTGCAAAGCTGCAGGTGGAGCAGATTCCCTCTGGAGCCCAGGCCTCCTCCTCCATGGCAGTGTCCCTGTGCCAGCCCACCAGGCCCAGCCGTGGTGCCAGGGGGCTCCAGACCTGCTCCTGCAGAGTCTCAACATCCAAACCCAGCAGGAACAGCACAACACCACCCCATGAACCCCTGAACCACTTTGGAATCATCCAGAGCTGCCCCTAAGGAGAAAACAGGGCCAGGTGTCAGTCTGTCTTTTCCACTGCTGCCTTCAGCTCACCTGTCCCTGTCTGGGCTTTAATTTGTAGCAGTGGACACAAAAGGTTGCTCAGGTACTTCTCAGAGGTCAGTTACACAATCCAGGTGCCCACCAGGGCAGTGAACTTCCACTTAAATCTGCTGCAAGAGGGAGAGCTGGAATTTCCATTTCAGACACCCATCAGGGGAGGCAGCTCTGCTGACTGGTCTCTTCCCAAAAACTGTCACTGAAGTGCCTTGACCTGCCAGAGCCTTTCTGAGGTTATCTCACCCGACTGACAGTTATCTAGACTAAGAGTTCTCTCTTTTCATTTTATATAACCAACTATAAAAGTTCAGGGGAACTTCAAGTGACCTTTAGAAAGTCACAAAATTATTCATTTCCTGAGAAATTCACCATTACTCAGCAGCACACTGCCTCCCTCTCCGTGTGAGATCCCACTGCACCCACTTCAGCAGCCCTCACCAGAGGACACAGGACAGAATTTGCCAATTTAAAAGATGTGCAAGAGTTTACAAAGAGTTTGAAGAGTTTGAAGAGTTTGGAGAGTTTGGAAGGGCAGCAGTGAATTTTTTATGTGCTAATCCAAACCTCTTGGTGTTCAGTTACCTTTAAAATCAGGTCCAGGATATTACAGAAGGGAAAAAAAGGGTCAGTTAACCAGAAATCCCATGGAAACAGATTTACCCTGTCCAGAGATTCTGTCCACGATGTTTGAGTGGTAACTAGGAAAATAAAACCTTTGTCATTTAGGATTACCTCCAGTTGTACTCCTTGCCAGGGCAGGGCTGTTGCTGCAGCTCATTTATGTCATTTTTCACTTTCCTTCCAGAATCCTTCCATCACATGTCTTGGCATGTTGAATTCCTAACCAGATTGTACTGAAAAATACAAAAAGCAAAGAAATAAAACCTGCAGTGCCATCAATAATAAACACAGGAAGCTTCTAGAGGTGAGAATCCATCTCATTCAATGCCTTCTGCTGTTGATGGTTATTATTCCTCCATTCAGGCTTTTCCAAGACATCAATTTGTCACTTCCTCTCCTGGCACTGGCTGCTTGCCTAAGTCCACCTGTGTGAGCCTCCTGTCTCCTCTTCCTCAAAAAAATGTGCAGATCTTCTCTTTGATACCATTTGCTGCCACTCAGATGCTCACCCACAGGAAATTCTCATTTATTTGTCTCCACAGAGGCCCTGTTACATTGATGAACTGGTTCTGTGGCAGCCAGCCATTTCTTTTCCTTGGGAGCAGACGGGCTGAGGCCACCATCACCTCTGGGCAGAAAACACAACCCCAAAACTGCCCAGCAGCAGTGTCAGCCCTTCCACCTGAGCTGGGAGTGAAGTTCATTCTCAGTTCTGACGCCGATCCCAGCTCTGGGTGTCACCTCCCATCCTGGGAATGATGTTCCTGGAGCAGCTGCTGCACAAACCCCTGTACCTGTGTGTGCTTCCCACCTTCCAGCTGACATTGTGCAGGGGAACCCATGAGCAGGGATTTTGGCAGGAGATTAGAGAGCTGTCAGTCCCCAGCTCTCTCATCCAGCCCTATCACACACAGAATTTATTGTTGCTGGGATACTGTCAGCCCTGGACATTCTGCTTTGCTTATCTTTTACTCTTCAGTGTTACATATTCCCAGTCTTTTCTCCAACTCCCTCATTACAATTCCATCCACTCCTCACACCTGCACAGTCCCTCCAGTTTCCCTCGTGTGCTCTCGCTGCCTCATTTTGTGTCAGTGACTTCAAATTCTGCTTGAGTGCACGTTCCCTTTACAGCAAGAGAGGAAAGGAAACCTATCCAGATAGGAAGCTGCCTTTTCTGCTCAGGAGAATGAACTCTGCAAGCTTTGCACTACTGGAATTACCTGGTTGGGCTCAGAGAGGATGGAAAAGCATAATCATAAAAATCCCAGAATGCCAGATGAATCCCAGAATGGTTTGGGCTGGAAAAGAAAAAAGCTCATTTTGTTAAAGCTCATTTTGTTCCACCCCCTGCCAAGGGACACCTTCCATTATCCCAGGGTGCTCCAAGCCCTGTCCAACCTGGCCTTGGACACTTCCAGCCTGGCATCCTGTGCCAGGGTCTGCCCACCCTCACAGGGAACAATTACTTCCCAATATCCCATCAGACCCTGCCCTCTGGCAGTGGGAAGCCATTCCCCTTGTCCACTATGATGTCAAGGACAGCTGTCAAAATCCAAAATGCCCATTGGAGCTCCCTCTACACTTAATCCCCCTTGCTTTTATTTCCCCAACGTGGTCCAAAATGGATGGGGAGACTGAGCAAAGGAATTACTCATCACACTTGTTCAAGAGACTGGCTCCTCAGAGCACCCTTCTTCTACAGAAGTAAAGAAAAACCTCATTGCATCCATCTGGAATATTTCCTTAATTACTTTAGGGTTGAAATCCAAATGCAAAGATTTCCATAATATCCCTAAGAAATTGGTTTAGTCCAAGGAAAGGAATTAAAAACTGCTCTTCATGTCTTGGGACTCAATGCCTCATTGCTAATGACTTTTCCTAAGCTGACAGTGATATTTCCAGGAAGGAGGGAGACTGGAGAATGCCATGGAATGGCATTTCAGTGTTGTTTCTGTTGTAAATCCAGCCAGGATGCACAGCCCAGCAGGAGGAGGGCAGGAAGCAGAGGGGTCTCTCCTTTCCTGGCTGGGTATTCAGGGCTGTGTCTCCTGCTCAGGATGAACATCCTTCCCTTGCTGCCAGCCCCTCAGGCACTCCCAAACTCACTCTTTGCCTGCTTTGCTGCTCCTGATTGCTCTGGCAAAGAGCTGGGTGCTAATTTAAACCCAAGCCTTGGCTTTTCTAGGGCTGTGTGGGCCAGGAGCCTTCTGCAGGCAGAGGCACACGAGGCTGCAGCAACGCTTTTCTCCTTTTCAAATAAACCCCAAAGGCCCACTGGCCACTTCCATCCATGTAAATACTGCAGAGAGGGCCCCAAACAATGATTGTGCCTCAGTCCTGCTGGGGTGATGGCAAAACTCCTGAGGCTACGTTGGTTTGTGACTTATGTACCAACCCACATGTCAGGGCAGCATCATTGCCTCAGACACCCCAGGCTTCTGGAACAGCCCCATCAGCCAACTGTGGCACTTACCACAGAATTCATTATTGTACATTATAATTCATTATTTCTGGCTGCAGTTAATGATTTCATGCCCTGCTTTGCCTCGTTATGGGGGTGCCATGACTTTCCTGTCACATATGAAATGTGACTATTGAAATGCTGCATTTTGTGTGTCCTAAGGATCTGCAAGAGCCATGGCAGGGGCTGGAATGAGATGATCTACAAGGTCCCTTTCACCCCAAACCATTCCATGATTTTAATCCATTCCTCTCTAAGCTGGCTGCTCCTGCTGTGGTGCTGGGTTTAATACTCCACACCAGTATCAGACTGGTCAGGTGAGTTCCTTCAGAGAGCCAGGGAAAATCCTGAGCTGGAAGGAACCCACAAGGATCAGGGTCCAGCTCCTACCCAGACACCCCAAATCCCACCCTGGGCATCCCTGGCAGTGTTGTCCAAACACCCCTGGAGCTCTGGCAGCCTTGGGAATGCTCCCATTCCTTGGGGAGCCTGGGCAGTGCTAGCACCTCCTTTTTCCTGACCTTTTCCTGATCCCAGCCTGACCCTCCCCTGCCACAGCTCCATGCCAGGGGCTAACTCATCAGTGACCTTTGTTTGTGTGCGTGGAGAGCCAACCAAAGCCTGCAGAGTGCTGCTCCTCAGCAGAAATTCTCTTCATGGATGCTCCCAGGACACCCCATGGACAGCAAGGTCCTTCCCTCAGGTTCATGCCCTGCTCCTGTCAACAGGAATGGCTTTCCCTGCCACCTGCAAAGACAAAAAAACCAGACAACCTGGGCCTTGGGGCTGCAGGAAACCACCTTCTAAAGGCCCTCCTTCTGTTTTTTGCTCTCCACAGGGACCAGCCCCCTCATTAAAGGCTCGGTGAGGCTCTGCAGCTCCTCCTGAGCAGCAGAGGTGGTGGCAGGACCTCCCAGGCTGAGCCCTGTGCCCGGGCTGCAGGGACAAGGGCAGCCCCAAGGCAGGGGGCGAGGAGCTGGGGATGGCCAGGAGTCAATCAGCAGCTCCACTAATTGCCAAATTCACTCATTTTCCCACAGCACAAGGAGGAAGGAACCCGAGTAAATTGCTGGGGCGGGTTGTGTGTAACCCTTGGCTCAGGGCAGGTCATGAATCTACAGGCTGGCTTTCCACAACTCTCTGACCTCCCCATTTATATTTTTTTCAAGCAGTCATTTCCTAATTAACAATTTCTCCCCTTTGAAGCCTTGCACTGCGTTTTCTCCTTTTCTGACAGCAGCAAAATTGTTTATCCCATTTCCTCACGTAGATTTTCATGTTCTGTCCCCCTGAACAATGGTAAGAACAGAACAATACAGGGAAATACTCAAGAGTTACCCCCTGCCCAGATCAGAGAGGAATTTCTTATCTTTGACACCTGCTGGCAATTAATCTTCTGCATGCTTGAATTTCCAATTAGGAGCCCTCCTGTAACAGGATTCAAGCCTGGATCCCAGCTGCCCTCTGCCTCCCCAGGAGCTGCAAGGGGCCAAATTCTGCTCTTATTTTAGGATATTTAAGAAGGAATTTCTCTCCCTCCAATACCCTTAAGGGGACACTTGGGCACTCTCCAGGCTGGAACCTCTGATTTTACACCCCTTGGTTTTGACATGAAGATGCTTTTTGTCCACAGAAAGACATGAATTTTCCTACAGAAAAAAATTTGATTTGGGGCTGTGTCAGTCCCTCTGCAGCAACCCCACATCAGGCATCCCTCAGAACAGCAACATCCTTTCCAATGATTGTATTTGGAGTTTTTCCTGCAGCCTGGAAGGCCGAGGAACCTTCTGCACCATCAGATTAACTCCTGCCCTCCCCAGCACTCAGGGCAGGTTTTCAGCCCAGGCTTTTGTGGGGATGTAACAATACCTTGATTTTGCCCATTTGAAAATATTTCCATGCCCAATACAGGGAGTCAGCTTTGCAGAGTGCAGAGAACTGAACAGAAATATTGCAAAGAATACTGTTCTTTGAAGGGCTAGTGGCATTAGGAGGCCATTTAGTGCTTTAAAGAGCACCATTTTATTAAGTATTTCAAAGCAACTTCAGAGCTATTATTTCTTATTTTGCTGTTTAAGCCTGTAAGTTTGAAAATTAATCATTATAGGACCTTTGATGCAAAAATCTATGAATAAAATAAATTCTGAGGGCTACTTTCACACTAAGTTATATTAAAACACTCCTTCATCTCCCTTATTAATTTAATGCACATCTCAGAAAGTATCTTAAATATTAGCAATACTAAATAAGCCAAACTCCCTATGGCTTCTTGATTTTTCTACTTTTCACATCTCAGATATTTCACATGGCTTTCCAGTGACCTTTAAATAAACTTGTGGGTTACTAATTAGCATAAGAAACAATAGATTCCCATTTCATGGGCAATTTCATGGTCAAGCAGCCCACCAGAGCCAGGCTGTGCTCTCTGCAATGTCCAGAGTGTCTCCAGCAGGGACACGTGCCCTGAGCAGCACCTCTGGGAACACAGGTCAGGACAGTTTTCCTCCATTCCTGAGGGCTCAGCTGAATTCTGGCATGGCCATGGGTGAGATCTTGGAGGAAGGGTCTGACCCAGAAGGGGAAAGACACATTTGAAAGGTTCACAAGAACAGCAACAACTGCCCCAGTGCCCGTGGGGACATTTGGGGTGACACAGGAACACCCTCCAGGGAATTCCTCATCTCCCTGTTCCCAGGGTGAGCTCCTCTGACACTTCCTTTGGGTTGAGCACAGAATTTAATTTGAAGCAGTCACGTTGCAGATGGGTTA